GCTGCTGGTGACAATTCAAGAAGAAAAACATCTTATTATTATAGCTTTTTTGTTTCTAATACACAATATAGAGTTTGTAAATCATATTATCTTTCAACATTGAATATTAGCAGCCATAGAGTGTTTTACTTTCATAAGTTTAATAAATCTTAAACTACTGGAACACCATTGCAATCAAAATCAGGGAAACATGTTAAAAAAAGGTTACTAGAAGAGTCTAAACAAGTTGTACGAGACCATATTAACCTTTTCCCAAGAATTGATGCTCATTATAGCAGGAAAAAGACACATAAAGAATACATGGAAGGATCACTAAATATAGGTAGAATGTATAATCTTTATAAAATATATTGTGATGAAAATGTCTCTCCTCCAGCAAAAGAACATATGTATCGTTATATCTTTAATCACGAGTTCAATATAGAATTTCAAAAACCGAAGAAAGATTTATGTGACACATGCTATGAGTATCGCAACATTGTTAATGGAAGCAATGAATAAACAGATAGTTATAATAAGCACATAAAATCAAGGAATGATACCAAAACTGAACGTGAAAATGATCGCCAAAATGTTGATTCTAAAACTGCAATTGTTTGTATTGACCTTGAAAATGTTTTAAATTTGCCTAGAGCTAATGTGGGAAACTTTTATTACAAATGAAAACTTTCAAATTATAACTTAACTGGTCATTGCTTGCTTGACAGAAAGGGTTATTGCATCCTTTGGCACGAAGCCATGACTGGTCGTGGAGGAAATGATCTAGCCAGTGCTGTAACATGTTTGCTTTTGAAAATCATGGCTGACCTTGACATAAATAAGTTCATACTTTGGTTTGATTCATGTGTACCACAAAACCGCAATAGTTTCATGTCAGCAGCTTTGTGTGAATTTATAATACGATACCCACAAATAAAAGTAATTGAACAGAAGTTCTGCGAGCCAGGTCATTCCAGCATTCAAGAATGTGACAACATTCATAGTCAGATTGAAAAATCCCTCTCTGCTGCAGAAATATTTAGTCCACTTGGGCTAGAAAGAGCTATTAAAAATGTAAACCGTAAAAAACCTTTCTGTGTTTACCAAATGCAATTAGGAGATGTAAAGAATTTTTCAGTTGTCGCTGGTTTGTCAAGTTATAAGTTAATGCCTTATTCAAAGGTTAAAAATCTTGTTTATCGAACAGACTGCCATACCATGTTTTTTTTAAAACCTCGTTTTCAGATAATTATTCACAAGCTCGTATAAATAAGTCTGTCAAGAAAGCAGCATCAACCATTGTTGCAAAACCATTAAATACCAATATACCAATGGCAGCTTGCTTTCGTGCTTCTTATCAGTCTATATCTGTTGCAAAAGCCAATGATATCATTTCCATGTATTCATACATGCCTGCTGTTGATATTGCATTTTATAAAACAATAATAAATTGAACATTTACAAAACATTAATAAAGTCAAAATATTTTTAGGGTTGTTATATGTTTAGTATAAATATAAATAACATATTTATATATATATAATAATATAAATAATATACATATAAATAACATATTTAAATAAAATATTTATTTAGTATAAATATAAATATAAAACACATTGAAATAATATTATTTTGAAATCTTGATAAAAATTTTTGTTTAGCTTGTGTTTTTTTTGTTTGTTTTTTTGTACTTTTATATTCATTTTCCCCCACTTGTTTGGTTTGGATGGTTTTCCATAGTGACATAAAGGCCACTATGAAAGAGTTAAAGCAATGTTTCACAACCTGATGCCCTTCCTGACGTTAACTTGAGTAACAATTTTTTATTTGTAAATATTTGCAATAACTTTTAATAAAAAGTTAAACTCTATTAATGGATACACAGGCATAAGAAAAATAAAATCAAGTTCATCTTGCATGGAGTTTGTGATTAGATTAGTTGAATTGTTGTGAATTATCAGATAGTTACATAATGTTATTTCTTTTATTATTACATTTTTTTTAACATAACTCTTTCCTATATACCTTTCATAATTTATTTTATACGTCTATATTATATTAATACGTTTATATTATTATTACGCAGCCAAATTTTCCGTTTTAAATTAGACGTCTTAGTCTTGTCCAGGGCCGGCGCCTACAGGTAATTAAAGTAAATGTAAGTCGTAAGAACAGTGTCGTTAGAGGCTCTTCTAAAAGTTCTCTTAATTAGGGCCTCATTTTATTTAAAAAAACTTAATTGTTTAGGTAATTCAAAATGCCCATGCCCATAAATTAGGAGTGTATGGTACTGCGTAAGAATAATTAGCAGGTAGAACAAATTTTCATCAATTTCTAACATGTCGTTGTTGAAAAATGTACTTAATATGTTTAATATATATGATGTAACAACATAATATTTTTGAATTTTACTAAAAACCAAAGTTATTTTGTTCTATCTCCAAAAGAGGGTGCGAAAAAAAGGGCGTTAGCGTAATTTTAAAAAGTTTTTTTTATCTAAAAATTAATAATAAAACATTTTTAAATCTTAGGAAATACCTAAATTCTCAAAATATTTTTTCAATTTAGCTGCAAACAAATTCAAACTTTGACATCGATTTTCTCAGTTTGCAAAAACATGGAGATAGCACAAGATAATTCTAACGTCGCGATATGACATACAAAATAAAAATGTCATAACAAAATGCGTAATCCGCTAATAAAAATTGTCAAGCAACAAACAAAAGTAGAAACAAAACAAAAACTTATTTAAGAGAATTTATCCAAAGTATATTAACAAAAATGTTTCACAGGTTTTAAAGATTTCTTTTTTTGTTAAAAACTTGAATGAACTTAACGAACTCACCGTACCTTTGAACTCTTTCTGAAAAATATTCCATACCTTTGGACCTCTATATAAAATGCTGTATTTTGAATATTTATTTATTATCCTTGGCAGTTTATATGTGTTCAACATATTCGCTCTAAGATTATAGTTATCATTTTTATTTAACTCAAACTTATTATTAAAGCTTATAGGAGAGATATTGTAATTGTAACGATACATGAAAATTAAATGCTGGTAGATATTTATTTCAAATACATTTACCATTTTCATATCTTTCATCAAGAGATTAGCGTGTTCCCGTCTATTTTTAAAGTAAATGATTCCACAGGCATGTTTATGAAAACTATAAAGTTTCTTAAGCTTTGCTGTTTGAGTACTTGCCCATGAAATGTTTGCATAGCTGATGAGGCTGTGAATTAGCCCAAAGTAGATTAATTTAAGACTATTTGTATTAATGTACGAGCGAACTCGATACATTAAACCTATGATTTTGGTAATTTTTGACTGGATATATATTATATGAGGTAGCCAGGATAATTTTTCATCAACAACGATTCCCAAGAATCTTATATTGGATTGCTTTTTAATTAATTTATCATTTATAAAAAGGTTCGGCAACTTAAGAGGAAGATTTTCTTCTTGTGTTTTTTTATGAAAAAGTATAGTTTGTTTTCTCGGTATTAAGTGAGGGTTTGTTAGCTTTAAACCAGTTATTTACTTTATTTAGTTCAATATTCATGTCCGCATATAATTTCTCGATATCGTTGTTGGTAAGAAATAAATTCGTGTCATCTGCAAACATGACTGAATTAAGTTTTAAGGATGCATTTCAGAAGTCATTTATATATATTAAAAAAAGAAGTGGACCAAGAATCGATCCTTACGGAACTCCACACACGACATTTAACACTCCAGATTGGGCATTATTTACATATTGTTTTCTGTTTGTAAGATAGCTTTTAATCCAATAATAAGTTTTATTAACTATTCCGTAATGTCTTAATTTATCTAAGAGAATAGAGTGGTCCACTGTATCAAATGCTTTTGATAAATCAAGAAATACACCATAAGTAAATTTATTATTTTCAAAATCATTAGTTATTTGATTTACTATTTCAATGATTGCATGCTCAGTAGAGAGATTTTTTTGAAAACCGAACTGATTTAAAAAATTCTTTTTAATCAAGTAATCATAGATTCTATTATAAACTACAAGTTCGAATAGTTTAGAAAATACAGAAAGTACTTAAACCTTAATATAGGCATCATAAGATATCCCACCATTATTATTAGGGTTCCCACTATTAAAACTAAAGCTAAAATTAAGGATTTTAAGGAGATATTTTCCTAAAGATTTTTTGAAAGAAAAAGTAAGGATAATTAAGGAGAAAATGATTACATTAAAAACATCTTATTTTTTCAATAAATTTTAAATATAAACAGAGAAAATACTTTATATATATATATATATATATATATATATATATATATATATATATATATATATATATATATAACAAAAATAGGTTTGAAAACTATATATTATCTTCTTTATTAACAAGTATAATCCATTCACTTCAAAAAATTTTTCTAGATTTTCTAGATATTAAAAAAACAAAAAAAATAAGGAGATTAAGGAGAACAGTCAAATTTTTACTTTTTTTAAGGTTATTTAAAGACATTATAAGGAGGTTATTATTTTTTAAGGATATTTAAGGTTTTTAAGGAGGTGTGGGAACCCTGGATATATACATCTAGGACTGTGATCGGATTGCCGCGCGAGGATACCTGAAAACCTAATTTTTTTAAAAAAACTTTATATAAAGTTGATTTAAAGAGATTTCTAAGAAATAACTTTGTTTATTATTGATGAAGCCAAAAAATATATATAATCATTACTCTCTACATTACGTTTAATCAGCCTTTATGGCAGAAAGCGTTAAGAGTTATACAGGATCAGAACCTCAATATAGTATGCTAACTATGACGTTTTCGCATAACGATGAGTTTTCTCAGAAGAATTTGAAAATTCAAAGCAGCAACTGGTTTAGAAGAGACTTTGAGAAAAATTTGCTTTAAAGAAACTTTATTTTTAATATTAGCCATATCAATAGTAACTAATTTAAAATTTAAACAATTATCAAACAGGTTTTCATGACCTAAAATAGTGTACGAAAAAAAAAACCACACATTAAGTGTTTTGGTATAATACCTTTTGTTGTAGTAATTTACAGAGATTTAACTTGATATTACATTTAAAAAGAAAACAACAAAGGAATATATAGCATTGAAATTAAGCAGATAACAAGGGAGCAGATAATAGAGGGCGTCCATCAACATTATGATTTTTCGCCAAATAATCTGTGTGTTCTTGATAGGGCGTCTTTCCAAAAGTAGTTTCTGTCCACATATCAGGAGTCAAATAAGAATAGGTTCGAGAAATAGCCAAATATGTAGCCATTGCTAGGAGAAAAAATATTTATAATTATCAATATTTTTATATTTCAATTATATAATTCCTCGTTTAACATCTTACGTTTTTTAAAGTCTATAAGAAATAAAATATACGAATTTTCAAAAGTTTATACAATTGAAACAAAAAATTTTATAGTAGTTATAAATTTTTTAAGTTTGTTAATTTTTATTTTAACTGATATATTTAAATCAAAACACAAAAATTAAAAATGCTCTTTTAAACTTAATTTTCTGAAATTTGCTGTGTACACATGCGCCAAAATTTAGAGGGCTGCACAAGTGTATATATATATAAACAACACTCAGCCCTCAAAAAACAAATCAACACACTATGTTGATGTCAGAAATTAAATTTATTTTGCTTTAACTGCAGCATACAGCCTTCTTAAGTGTTAGCATGAGAAAAAAAGAAATGATATAAATTGAATCATTTAATGAATTTTTTTGAAATGTAATTTTAAAAAATATAATTTTTTAAAATTAAATTAAATGATTCAGATATGTTTGCAACTATTAGTTATTAATTTTTCTAAACAATTCAGCAAAACAAGGTGATTTCTAATTTAAAACCTTCCCTCGTTTTTTGTTTTTTAAAACCAACTATTAACTGCCAAACTTTAAACGGAATACTATAAATAATTTTTTTTTAGACAAACACAACAATAAAAACATTTTAAAACAAGTATACATTTTTAACTTAAGCAAAAAGGAAGCTTTATATTAATTATCTATATATTAACTATCATGTTATAAAGTTTCATAAAACAAATTTCAGATGTCTTGAATAGTTGGTTTATCTGAACAAATCAAATTTTTGTTTAGAGTTATGCATAAAAATTCCTAAGCCTACCTAAAGTTAACTCTTGTGTTAAACTCGAGTGTATTGAGGCCAGCGTATATAGGTGGGCATTATATACATATGTACCCACTTAGTATTATAAGTATTAAATTTTTTGTGACTAAATTTGTTTTAACACACTTGTACACATATATATCTTAATATACATTTATATATAAAGATATATATTTGCATATATATATGTAAAAAAAATTAAGGCACAAATGCGACTTTAACTACGTTTTATGTAAGACTAAGCCAACAATACACAAATATATATATATATATATAAAAATATATAAATGCATGTATGTATATAGCATGCAAATTTAACCTCAGCACATGCAGAGGGCTGTGTAGTACTTTATTAATTGCCTTGTCAAAAATTGTGCAGAGATTATATATTAGTATAGTCATTATTATAGATTTGGTAAAAGTTTTAAAACAACTTTTAGAACAAAAGACTAATAACAAAAAAAAAAAAAAAAAAGAAAAAAAAAAAAGAAATCATTTTTAAAACTAAATATAATATTAAGTAATAGAAACTATTTTTCATTAAAAAAAAATAATTCAAACACAAAACTTTAATTCAATTTTAAATGTTACTAAGGGCAAAAAAGCTGAATTTTGAATACTTTGTATATGTATACATATAACATGCAATTAAACAAAATATAAAAAATAAGTAATATAAAAAAATAAATTGAGCAACAGCCTTAAAATTATATGCATACCAAAGTTTCCAACAGTGGCAGTTGTTCCACAAGCTGATGTATAACAGTCTTCAACACCAGCCATCAATAGAAGTTTCTTAGAAACACCAGCTGCAACAATTCCAGTTCCACGTGGAGCTGGAATTAATCGAACAGTAACTGAACCACATTTTCCAGTAACCTAAAATCATTTTCTTAAGTTATATTTATAATAAATTATAGAAGTTCTAATCATTCTTTAAAATTTTAGTAGAATAAATACCATCAACAATACTTAATTACAAAACATTTTGAATACTTTTAAAACTATTTAAAATCTTTTTCCATTAATCAATCCTATGGAGTCAAATATTTTAACAAAGATCTTGAATAGAAAACCCTTTTGTTAATGCGCATTATTTATTCATGAGTTATAAAAATGTAAGATCTCGTGGAGCCAAATTAATCATGGATATTAACTTGGATTTGAAAGACAATTTAATTTTGGCATAGTGATAGACATTCAACAATAAATGCTGACATATTTTGCAATGCTAACCAAATTATGCCTTTTTTCCTATATAGTTAAACATTTTAATCAAGATCCTAAGGAGGAAACCTATTATTTATAATAATATGCATTTTTATTTATACATTTGTGCATGGGTAATAATATAAAATGTAAGATCTCGTGGAGCCAAATTAATCATGGATATTAATTTGGATTTGAAAGACAATTTAATTTTGGCATAGTGATAGACATTCAACAATAAATGCTGACATATTTTGCAATGCAAACTAACTTATGCCTTCATAACTTAATTTTTGAAATAACAAATAAACCTAGATTATTGATTCCATGATTAAAAAAAAACTTCAAGTGAAAAATAGACAAAAGTTTGTTTATAATCCCAATGAAAAAACTAACCTTGCATGGAACTGTATGGGGTTTACCTATTTTATTACCCCAATACCCAAGTCGAACTGGTATGATAGAAAGTTTAGCTTGAATTATAGCACCTCTTATAGCTGTTGCGACCTCTTTTGAGCATTTTACTCCAAGACCAACATGACAAGTATAGTCACCAATAGCAACAAAAGCTTTGAAGCGTGTTCTCTGTCCAGCACGTGTTTGCTTCTGAACTGGCATAATTTTAAGTACTTCATCTTTTAGGGAAGGTCCCAAAAAGAAATCTATTATTTCAAACTCTTTAATAGGTAAGGAGTACAAATAAATTTGCTCTAGTGTTTTAATTTTGAGATCTTTAACGAGTCGACCAAGTTTAGTAACAGGGGTCCACTCTTTGTCTTCAGATTTACCTCCACGACCGCGTCCTCCACGCCCTCTGCCTCTTCCTCTCCCACCTCTACCTCCACGTCCAAAACCACCTCTTCCTCGTCCACCGGCTGATCCTGAGTCTGCCATTTGCTAAAGATAATATTGTAAATAAAAACTTATTTGTTTTACATAAATCATAATAACTTTTTATGTATTTAGGTGTCAAACCAATTAAGTAAAACAATCTTAGCTGGATAACTACCTAAAAATTTATATCTGGTTCTCAAAAATAGAATAATAATTATTCATTAATAGTGAGAAACCACATAATTAATACAGTTACAAAAAAATAAGCAAAAAAACTAAGCTTAATTATATTAGTTTTGTGTGTATGTTACATTTTTTGTATACTTTGTTTTTACAAATGCATACCAAAGTGAATCCATTTAGAGATTCAAAAGGGTAAACTAATGTTGTAAAGTTTTATATAAAATCTCAGTAAATATATTTAATATATTGTCTGAGTACCCTTTTCAATCAAAATATTGGATTAACCACTGTTGCAGATGTTGGAGTGCTGGACTTTTATATATTTAACATTAACGAAATAAATAAATAAAAAGTTTTGCTTGCATAATAGTTCAAATTTTTAAAAAAAACTTTGATAAAAACAAACATATATTCGCACAATGAAAAACTGGAATTTACATAATTAAAGAAGAAAAATTTGCACAATGAAAAAGTGGGATGTACATTTAACTAATGGAAAATTAAATAAATCTAATTTAACTATATAAAAAAATATTTAAATCTGAAGTTAAATCTTTATAATTAATGAAATCTTTACAAAAATAAAAAAGAAAATCTTAACTAAAATTATATGATTTATTTTTATGTTTGATGGCTCTAAATTAAGCAAATCTTGATTTAAAAATTACTGTAAATCTCCAAAGAAAAAAAAATCAGGAAGTTTGGTTTGATTTAAACAAAAAAATATCAAATAACAAATTTACAATTTTCTAAATATTTTTCAAGTATTTTTAGTTTAGTTAATGCCATATTTAGACTTAAGTTCTTCTACTACTGTAATATATTCAGCTTCGGCATCCTCTTTAGATTTCCCCTTTAAAGAGCTCCATGCATCCCATTTAGCTTTTCCAGTCAAGTCAAACATTCCAGGACGACTTGTATTGACATCGCCTACTGTGGCTTGTTTATAAAGAGAATATATTTTCAACATTTCATCGTCACTAGGCTTAGAAGCAAGATTTTTAACTTCAGCTGCGGCTATCTCGAATGCAGACATTTTCATGAAAGAGCTTCCAACAAAAAAAACTAAAATGAAAATTAAACTTAATGAAAACATTTTCTCATGATTTTACAAGGTTATTTTGTTAGAAGTATAACAATATTAGGTTTGCTGAAAGCTCATACCAGGAAAATGTCTACTATAAAACTTATTTGCGAATATAAATGCACTTTTTAAAAAGATAATGGCTTTTATTAAGGATGCAACTCATAAAAGTTTGACAATTATTATGAAACTATTTTAAAAGAAATACACTCGTCTTCTTTAAAGAAAATAAACTTATTTTCTAAGAAGAACACAACTGCATTTTCCTAATAAAAGATGAATTGGATAACACATGATTACTTACGTGTGTTCGGATTTTGTATATATGCAAAAGACTAACTGAGTTTCTAAACCTTTTAAATAAAAGATGCGGTAAATTCAGTGCCAAATGAATCTAGTGAAACAAGCAATCGTACTAACTTGATTGGTTTTTTGTATACATAATTTTTGAAACTTCGTACTCGGGTCACGAGTCAAAATTTAGATTGCCGGGGGTCTTAAGTTGTGACTCAAAAGTTTTCTCCTAGCAAAAGTTTGAACAGAGTCAACATGAAAAATACACCTCAAATTAATAGTTAGAAACATTTTTTTTTTACCTTTGTTAAACTAAACTTCAAACTGAACAAGGCCGACGACGATGGTTTCAAAGTAGAGGGGCGCAATTGTCAATTTCTAATAAAAGTCTTTTTTTTCTTTATAATAAAATTTCTAATAAAAGTTCTATATCTAAAAATTTCTAAATAAAATAAAAAAGTATCTTTTAAAAAAAGTGGGAGGGGGAGGCATTTACCCTGCCCCTACCCCAACCCCGGTGTTGTCGGCCGGGTTGGGATACGGTGGGATTTCGATATTTCATTGTTAAAATTTTTAACGGTTGTTATTTTTTATAATTATAAATTATACGTCGTTTATGTCTTTCGATCAAAAACTGGTAGAAACTGATACTTTCTGCATTTATAACATCAAACTTCTCATACTGCCATGGATCATATGGATGTTTCACAGTAAGAAACTAAGTTTTCCTATAAATTGAATACACGAGAGAGCTTAAAATTTTATGTACATAAATTATGAACTTTATTTAAATTCTCTTACTAAATAGCGGTACCTTAACTATGTATAAAAAAAAACTTGCATTGTTATATTGCATTGCACTGGGATTCTAAACTACATATTGCACCAAAATCTATAAATAAAGATTTTTAATTTTCTTGAAACAAACCTGATATACGAAAAACTCCGTCGATATTTTTAAATCTTTTTATTTGAATTGGAATCTTTGTAGAACTTAAGGTCTAAATTTAAAACTAGTTTCCAAATTTTGGGCCTTAATCTAAATTGTATTCCAAAAGAATTATTGAATAACGAATAAAATTCAAATCGAAAATAAATTAGGTACCAAAGCAATATACATTCAAACTATGCATGGTTTTTATTAGAGATGTCGGATACATTAATAAACTAAAGTAACATCTTTATATTTTTGCTTGTTTAATTATGTCATTTTTGTTTGATGTTTGTTTAAAGTTGTTTGTGTGTTCATTGTTTATTTTAAATTTTTAAAAGTTAACATCTTAAAAAAGTTTTTAAATTAATATAAGTTAAAACATTGGTTATAGTAACTTATCCTTATAAAATTCTTTTATTTCTAAGGATTTTATATACCCTCGTTATTCAAGTAATGTTATTACCAAGTACAAGTAATGTTTATAAGTGTTAGTTGACTTTTATGGCCGAATATAGAACTACCTTTGTATCGTTTTTATCTTCATCTAACATTATTCCAAACTTTACAGGGGCGGTTATGCCTCCACTTCCCCTATATATATATATATATATATATATATATATATATATATATATATATATATATATATATATATATATATATATATATATATATATATATATATATATATATATATATATATATATATATATATATATATATATATATATATATATATCAATATAAGGGTGCATCAAACCCCCAATACATCTATTAGTTCGCAAGACACTCTGTAAAAAATTTTTAAAATCGAATGAGATTTAGGAGGGCTACCTCAAGTCTGAAACTTGCAACGAAACCCTTAACAGAAAAAAAAAGTTTTTCAAATATATGTCATAATGGGTCTCAAAAGAAGCGAAATTTTATAAAAAATTCAAAAACAATAAAAATTTTACACAAGAATTATTATTTTATGCTTTGTTGCATAAAAATTATTATTTTTTAACAGAAAATAAAAAAAAAACATTTTTTCATGGTTTTTGTCGAAATTTTTTTTCAAGATATTTTTAACAAAAAATGATAATAATTTTTGAAATGTTTATAAAATTTCGCTTCTTTTAAGACCCAACATGACATACATTTAAAAACCTTTTTTTTCTTCTGTTTAGGGTCCCGTTGCATGTTTCAGACTTGAGGTGGCCCCCCTAAATCTCATTCAATTTTGAAAAAAATTATCAGAGTGTCTTGTGAGAACCAATAGAATGTTTTAAGAATAGGGGCAGATTAATTTTTGAATGTATGCAGGGTTTGATGCACCCATATATATATATATATATATATATATATATATATATATATATATATATATATATATATATATATATATATATATATATATATATATTTGAGATGTACCGATTAATCGGCATCGGCTTAATCGGCCACTTTTTGCACAATGGTATCGGTATCGGCATCGGTCTTTTCTTATCAATTTACCGATTTTCCAACCGATGGCATTTTTATATTTTTATCCCTAAAATTGTATTTATTTTTTGAAAGTTTTCTTTTCATAGTTAAAAAAAAGTAAAAAATGTATATTTATTTGATTGAGCTTTTCTAATATCTTTCAAAATAAAGGTTTGAATCTGATTTGGTTCCAAGTATTTGCTTACCAGTTCTGATTCCATGAAAAATTTTACACGATTTAAAGTTGTATGGTTTTATATTTTTAAATTATAATAGCTAGTTAATCTATCGGTATCGGCATCGGTATCGGCCTTTTCCTATCCATCGGCATCGGCCAAAAATGTGCAATCGGTACATCACTAATATATATATATATATATATATATATATATATATATATATATATATATATATATATATATATATATATATATATATATATATATATATATATATATATACATATATATATATATATATATATATATATATATATATATATATATATATATACATATATATATATATATATATATATATATATATATATATATATATATATATATATATATATATATATATATATATATATATATATATATATATATATATATATATATATATATATATATATATATATATATATATATATATATACACATTCACATTTAAAAGTTTTGTTCAGGAAAAACTCTCAAAACATAAAAATTAAAGGTAATTAATGTCATATAAGTTTTTACGTCGCTAATTTTTTTTATAAAATGAGCTTTTTAAAACCAAATAATTTCAGAATGGGGAAAGTTGGGGTAGTTAACTTTTTTTGTTTGTTTGGAAATTTTTAGACACAAAACCCGGCAACCGCGTATGTTGGTGAAGGGCCGCCGAGAGTGGGGGTGCAGGGCCACCGAGAGAGGGGGTAGCTTTGAATATACTAAAGCACCTCAAACCGGTAAGTTTTAAATGTTGAAAATCTTTTCATATTTCTTTATCGCATTATTGAAATAGATTAATTTAATAAAAAAGCGTTTTATTTTCGGATTATTGTAATTGATTAATATTGTTTTACTATCGATTTATTTGGCATTGATAGATTTTACTTTGATGTCCAGTGCTTTCAGCCAAACGTTTCAGTATAATATCTTGGGTTGCGGATCGATCTAGCAAAATTTTCATTCAATCTCCTGATTTTTTATTTTCACTTTTTCTTAATTCCACTCTCCTGATTTTACCACTTATCGTTTTTGGTAAAGATTCAACGAATTCAATCTAAATATACAAATATAAATAAATATATATAATTGAACAAAAATTATGTATGTTATATGAATATTGCATACTCGCAATATTTACAGGCAATCAAAAATTGCAAAAGAAATTATGATAAAAATTTAAAGAAAAAACATTTCGTCTACCAGAAAATAAAAGTGGTTGCCAGTCATACCAAGACAAAATATACTAGATTAAAAAAAAAAAGTTGTTTGTAAAAAGTTGGCTACAACAAAAGATTATAGCAAAAAAAGATTCTGTTTAATCTAACCATTTTTACAATAACCTGATTAGTTTAACCCGTTTGACAAAAATACCCTTCGACAACACCCTAATATTTTTTGGAGACAGAATTGTGGGCAATTTGGTGGATTGAGCTTGATCGGTGCAAAATTTATCCCTCTCAAAGTTTTCTTAACGTAGTGACAATAACCCAAAAAAGTTAGACCAAAACAAACAAGGTCTAGTGTGTGTTCAAACGAGTGGCAAAAGTTGGTTTAGAAGACACTCTTGAATTTTAGTATCTTAAACAATTTATAAAAATTAGACAAGAGATATTCAGAAGGCATTCTTAAATACTAACATAATATATTAGTATTCAAGAATGTCTCTGAACATAGAGTATAAATTTCCAACGGGTTTTGATTTCAAATTGTTTTCATTTTCAATAAATTCCCAAAGAACTTCTTCCCCAAGAACTTCTTCCCCAAGAACTTCTTCCCCAAGAACTTCTTCCCCAAGAACTTCTTCAAGATCCCATGCAGTAATTATATATGCTCAACTTGACGATGTTTTAAATTAAAAGATGTTAACGAAACACAGGAAACTAGAGCTTTAATGGATTCGACATATTACAGAGAATAAATATTAATAAACATATTCGACATATTACAGAGAATCAAGAATTGATTCAATCGTTAGAGTTCTTCATTGGCACAGTTGTTCGTTTTGGAAAAAAACAACAATTATCTCTAGCATGAATCATTTCAATGTAAAGTTTCTTGTTTTTTTTTCAACATCTTTACTTCCAACAAGGTTGCAAGCAACCACTATTAGAGTTAAAAGTTACTGGAAGAGAAAAGATGTAGTTTATAGAGCGAGATAACGATTGACAGACGACTTAAAAGATTGCAAATTATATAACTCAGGAAAGCAAGATGAAAGAAGCGAATTCCAAAGAACTGATGTTCGAAGAAAAAAACTAGACGAATATTAGTTTTTGGAGCACTTAGGAACGTAAAAGGATGAGACTTAATTGAATGATAAGTAACACGAGAATGAATTTTATTAGATGGCACAAGAGACGCTAGCTCTTTAGAGCAGTGCCCATTATAGTATTTGTAGAAAAGAGAAAGAGAAGCAACATTATGATAATGTGATAGTGGCTGGAGGTTGGCTGCAAGAGCAGGTCCAACTATGTTTACAATGCATTTTTGCACCTGGTCTGAGAGAGAAAGGGCATCATTGGAAGATCTGCCCCAGATATGGCAACAGTATTCCATACAAGGGCGAATTTGAGATTTATAGATATAAAGAATAGAATTCTGAGTAAAAAAGTGGTAAGCACGATAAAGAGATGCAACCTTAGCAGATGCTAACTTTGTAATCGATTTCATATATGGCTTTTAAGAAAGATCTGAAGTAAACATTTATCCTAGAAGATGAAGTGTAGATGAGTTATTGAGTACATTATCGATCATAAATATAGGAAGATCTAGATTATTTCAATAATTAGATAATAATTAGCTAATAAAAATTTTTTAGTTTTATCTGAATTAAAGTTCACTAACCACTGTGAGCCCTGATGTAGCAGATCTGAGATCCTTTTCAAGCTCAAATGCCCCCTCCAAGCAATCAGAGAGTGTTGGCTTCTTATCAAGACAAGAATAAATGGCGGAATCATCAGCGAACAATGCCACTAAGATGTGAGAATATCGTTAATGTAAATAAAAAAGAGTGTAAGGCCAAGGATTGAACCTTGAGAAACCCCTGAAGTTACAGGATATGAAGTTAAATGCTGTACATCGAGGACAAATTTTATACAACAATTGGAAAGGAAGGATTCAATAATCTTGATGTTACCAGATACACCATAAGAAGAAAGCTTATGGAGAAGACAGCATCCCAAGCTTTATCAAAAGTTTCAGAAATGTCAAGAGCAATAGTCTTAATCTCTCTGCATCAAATTAATGGATCAAATTAAAACCTGTCAGTTAATACTGTTAGCAAACCAGCTGTAGAACCAGAAGAGCGAAATCCATATTGATGATCAGAAAGTAAGTTATTAGATTCAATATGAGAGATTAAGTGTTTGTTAATTAAAGATCCAAAAACCTCGCTTATGATAGGAAGAAGACTAATAAGGTGGTAGTTAGACAAGTTAGATTGCCCTCCAGAATTTTTGAAAATAGGGATAACAGATGCCACTTTCCACGAGGCTGGAAATCAAGACTTTGGTAAGCACTTGTTAAATAATTTTAAAAGTACAGTAGGCAAAAAAATAAATAACACAATTTTTTTTTTTTGAAAATTCATATAAAATGATTAAAAAACAGTAGTTAGTTTTTGTTTTTAAGGGAAAAAAACAAGAACAAAAAACTATCAGTTTTTTTTTAAATAGCATTATATTGAAACATTGCATTCAAAAATTGTTAAATAGTAGTTCATATTACATAGAAAAATAAACTGTACTTATATTCATCAAATATTTTCTTGCAAAAAAAATAATGGCACAAAAAAGAAAAATTTCCAAATTTAGACAAAAAATTACTTTTTAATATTTAGTAGAGCCACTCTTTGCCAGAATTGACTGCTGACATTGACTCCAATAGAGAATTGGTTTCTTCTGGATTTTCTCCCATGCTTTAACTATGGCTGCTTTTAGATCATTTTGTTTTCTGTAAGCTAGATGTCTAACTTTCTGGTCTAGAATTTAACACAAATGCTCAATCTGATAAAGGTCAGGACAGGCCATTCCATCACATTAATATCATTCTTTCGAAAATATTCCTTTGTTGCTATAGCAGAATGTTTTGGATCATTGTCTTGTTGAAAGAAGAAGTTATTTCCGAATCTAAATTTACGAGCAGAGGGCATCAAACTTTGCTTTAAAATGTCTATATACGAATTGGCGTTTATTGTTGATTTAATGAAAGTCAATTTGCCAACTCCTTGCCATGCCATTAATCCCCACACCATGACATTTTCACCACCATGTTTTACTGTCCCTCTCATGCAACTCAATTTGTATGCCTCACCTTGTTTTCGCTAAACTTTTTTTCTGCCCATCTGAGGAGATCAGTTTAAATTTGGATTCATCACTCCAAATTACTTCCTGAACTCAATCTTGTCAACATACTTTTTTGCAAATAATAATCTTTGTTTCCTATTTCTTAGAGTAAGGGTTTTTTGCAACATATTCTACCATGAAATCCTTGCTCTCAGATTCTATTTTGAATATTTTGAGCTGAAATCATGATTTTGTGATCGTTTTTTTTTGTGGTAATCGTTTTGAACTTTGTCTGTAATCTTTTGAGCAGCTTCAAATCTGTTTTGCTTGACTTGTAAGATAATGTTTCTATCAATGGCAGCAGATGTCTTTCTTTTATAGTCTCTTCCTGCTATATCAGTTGTAGTCCCATTCAAATGATACTTTTTTATAATATTGCCGACTGTTCGAAAAGGGATTCCAGTCTGCTTATTAACTTCTCTGTAGGTCTTACCATTATTTACCAAATCCACAACTAAGTTTCTTTGAGAAATCATCCAATGTTATTTTACAATGTGCATGTTGTTATAAATTAATCAATTTTATTCAATTAATCAAAACTGGGTTACATATATATTTTATGTGTTACATATGTAAATATCTTATGTGTTTATATTTTTTTAGACTTAAACTTATAAAAATTTTTTTTTTTTTTACAAAAATTCAAAAAAATAGTAAATAAAATTTTTGTGCCAATAATTATTTTGCTTCCAATTTAACACCTGTATATTTTTAATGTACCTTTAACTTTTTTAAAAACAATAACCCTTTGGTGAAATCATGCACAAGTACGTATAAAAATCTTCATAATAGTAGTTCTCTTTGATGTACATTTGAACTTTTTACAGTATTTAAAAAACATGAGTTAATGGATAAGTTAAAAAAAAAAACTTTAAAAAAATTGCTTGTACCATTTATTTTTTTGCCTACTGTATAAACACTTCTGCAAGACTATAACAGGTATGTTGTCCGGACCACAAGCTGTAGAAGAATCTAAGCAGGAAATCACTTTAGATATAGAAGCTGGAGTGATACGAATGTCAAGCAATGGACCAACCTGTTTGTTGGCTATATCAGGTAGAATGCATCTAGTGGAATCATGAGATGATAATGATGAAAAGTTCTTAGCAAACAAATCAGCTATGTTTTTAGGTAAGGTAACAAAATTTGAACCATACAGGTGGAATAACAGATTTGCCCTTATTATAGATACTGTTAAAGATTCTCTAGAAGTCACTAAAGCCTAACTTTTGAGATAAAATATAAGATTTTGTGACCTGAGAATAACGGGCTTTGGCGTTAGACAAAACCTTTTTAGAATGATTTCTAGCAATAGTAAACAGATATCTGTTTTCTGGAGAATCGGAAATTGCAGCAGCACAATATGAGAAAAACCATGGAGAAGAGTGAGGCTTGACTTGGGATCGCCAAGTGGAAATAAAAGATTCCATGTCAACCTGAATCCAAGAAGTTAAGTAAGAAGCACATTTGTCAGCAGGAAGACAAATTATTTCTAACCAAAGGCCATCACGAAGAAAGTTACGAAAAGAGTCCCATAAGCTATAAAGTAGATGTAAGAGGTATGATGATAAAAGGATTCTAATGATGAAGAAGAATGAGATCAAATCATGATCACAAGCACCAAAAGGTGAATGTGGAGAAACTAAGCACTGACTAGGATCAGAAACAAGACATAAGTCTAGTAGAGAAGGTTAATGATTTGAATTGTCTGGAAAGCAAGTTGGAAACTTGACTATTTGTGTTAGAGATTGAGAAAGGCAAAAGTTGTGCGCCTTAATGCCTGCAGAGTCACTGTCACTAGAGCCTAGCCATTCAGTGTGATGAGCATTAAAGTCACTAACAACAACGATATTGGCTGAAAGATAAAGAGAGAGGTCTTGGTCAATTTGATCAGAAATAATATCGAAAAGTGAGCAGCCTTGAGTTGAAGGAGAGCGATATAGAACAAAGTGAAAGGTGATAGAGTGAAGTGGTGCTAAACGTAAGCACATAAAAGAATAGCTTGTGGATTAAAACCTAATTCCCCAACAAATAGGTGAACTCTTTCGAATGTAAATGCCCAGGCCAAGCATGTAACTATTGGAGTCTTTACAAACTAAAGGAAGATAATCATCAACACTAAGATCATAGGATTAGACAGCCAAACTCAAATTAGTCTTACAAAGAGCAAGTAGGTCTGGTGAACTTTGCAAGAGATAAGACTCAATAGAAGAAATGTTACTTTGAAGACCATGAATATTAGTGAATGATAGGTTTAGAGAACTTGGTGATGACAATGGTTTTTTGTGTTTTATAGTTTTTGGTACTTTAGTCATTTTTAAATTTGTAAAAGAACTTGACTCAAAGCATAGATAGTACTTAGTACACTATTTATATAAGTCCAAGAAATTGCTTCATTACTATTATTAAACCCTAAGCTGTAACAAAGGACTCTAAATGTTGGCTCGACAATCATAGATCATCTAGATCCAATGACAAAAACATAAAATAAACAGGTGGTCTAATTTGTGATGATAACAGGGCAAATTAGGTCTTTTTCAAGCAAAGACAGATGATGTACCATAGCAAGCAATAGATAATATATATCTTTTATATGACTTTGTGTAGCTTTTAAAAATTATTCCTATTAATTGGATAACTGAAATAGCTCAGGAACTTGTTTTTTTTAAACAAGAAAAAAAAAGGTGACAAATGGTCTCACATTGCAGTATTGCATTAATTTTGAAGAAATAGTAGAGAATGTTAGTATTATAAAGAAAAAACAATAATGGTGAGGTTATCAAGTTGAAACCATTGATGAGGCCATCAATAATGGTGAGGTTATCAAGTTGAAATCATTGATGAGGTTCCTTAGTAGCATTTGTTTGAAATTTTAACTGTTACAAGGAGAAGCAACAGAAAGTAGTGGGTGCAGTGTGAAAGTGGGTGCAGCAGAGAGTAGAATCTTTGCACAGCAAAGTATGAGTCATAAAAGGTGAAAAGGTGAATTATCTTTATCTATAATTATAAAGACTTTCTTTATCTATAAATATTAACAACTTAATGCTTCCAATGCTACTCACCATTTGTGCACATTTTTACACGGAGTTTTATGAGCATGCTTGGCCTTTTAGATATTTCTCATTTTTAACAACACAATGAGGTACTTTTGAATCTGTTAATATCTGTTTAATCAGTAATAAGATTGAAAACTTTGCTTCATCAATAATAAGTAATAATTAGTATATTTATAGATAATTTTAATTTTTTAATTAAAAGACAATGGTGACTCTAAAAGATGATGCTCTTTTCAAGAGGTCAAACTCTTGATAAAGTTAGTGTTATATATATATATATATATATATATATATATATATATATATATATATATATATATATATATATATATCTTGCATAAAAAGTGTTAAGAAAAAATTGTTGAAAGAATGTGTTTATAAGAAATGTTGAAAGATATATAGTTTTTTAATATCTATAATAATTTTTTTAATATTTATAATTTTAAGTAACTTTTATTGAACAGATATTATACTTCATTAAATAATTTTTATACTGTTACTTTTTGAGTAAATTTGTTTAAAAGATTATATATATATATATATATATATATATATATATATATATATATAATATATATATATATATATATATATATATATATATATATATATATATATATATATATATATATATATATACAATAAAATATAAAACTAAAGTGTCTATGCATATATTATATTTATAAAATATATATTATTGACTTTTTTCTTTAAAATATTAGATATCTAAATAAAAATTAAAATAGTTAAACAAGTTTCATTATTTCCAAGTTTCTTCACTTGAAGCAAATATATGGTTGTTTATTTGGGTTTTCTTTTATTAGTTTTGTATTTACTTAAATCTTGCATTAAATGCGTTTCAAAGTAATGAAAGGGTTTTTATGATGAATGATTACATTTTATCCTTATAGTTTAGCAGTACTTGCTGAGCAGACAGCCATTATTATTTTTAATTTGCTTTATTTATGAGTTCTTAAATGTAAAAAAAATTTATTTTTTAAATTACTTTACTTTTGTTTTTTCGATTAAATACTAATAATATTTTGTTAATAATTAATAACAACTAACTTAAATATGTAACAATACTCAGTTTAAAAAATTATATAAATTTATTTATAACTTTAGTTTAACCTTTTAATAAAAGTATGTTATCTTAACACATTGCCATATATGGTAGAATATAAAAGATTAATTTATTATGCTCTATATTATTTGCTTACACTTTATTTTAGATTAGTTTAAAAAAGAAAACTCAACTTTTTATTATATTAAGCATCATTTTTACACAGCTTTGATGCATGATTATATCTGATAATTTAAGAAATGAAATTATTAGACTTCGTCAAAATGAAAGAAGACAGGCTAGACAAGCTGAGATAAACCGCCGTCAGAATGAAAAAGATGAGCCCAGGCGAGCTGAGATAAACCATGAAAGAGGTGAGTCCAGGCGAGCTGAAATAAATTGTAATCAAAATGAAATAAATAAGGCTAGGCGAGAACACAATAGGTATAATATGCATTGCATAGCAAGAAATAATATTGCTACAGAGAATAATTACCTCATAGAATTCAACCATAATTGTCAGTATTGTAGTGCGAAAAGGTTTTTAAATGAAACTCATTTTTCTCAAATCTCCTCTTTCTCTATATCCACCATGGTTGACTGATTTAATGACAGGAAACCATGGTTGACTGATTTAATGACAGGAAACCATTGTTGACTGATTTAATGACAGGAAACCATGTTGATCATGCTTTAAACACATAAGGAGTTATAATTCCTCTTTATCTTTTGCTTCCTTCACTGTCGAATTAGCTCCTCCCTCAAATAATGGCCCTTTCTGTTTTAGGGTCTGTTTGCAAATTTTGCATCGTGTTGGAAATTTTGTTTTTATAAGTGTATGCAGTTAGTAGTTTAAATATGTTCAATAAAATCAGGATAACTCAACCCTCAACAATATAAACTAATTTTGAAATTCCACTTAACCTTTTTTTTATATATTATACTCCCAATAACTCTAATCTTCTTTAAACTTAACTATTTTCTTTGTCCTTTAAAGGTGTGGGTTATCTAGAGTTTACTTTAACATGTTCTGTTAATTAATTGTTGTGATGTTTTATGCTAATAGGCTTAGCTCACATTCATGTTGATCTGTCAGGGTTATGGAAAAATAAAAAGTAAGTTTCTTATCCACTTATCCGCATTTTTGAGTTTTCAAAAAAATTAATTGATTGCATGACACGTTAATTTTCAATTAATGTGTATTATGTTTGAAATAATTTTGTTCCATTTTTAGGTTGAGTTCCTTTTCTTATGGCTGACTTGAATTTGACCTACCTAAAGCCTAATAATAATGAAATAATGTTTCAATTTAAATTGTTTTATAAGTATTTTTGTTACTTTTTGTTAAATATAATATTTTTTTCAAAGTTTATATTTTTATTTTATCTAAAGAAAAATTATTTTTTTTGTTTCTTAAGTAAATATCTATATTTTTTATTTTGGAATTATTGTTTCAAATGGATATATTGATCATTTTTGCATTGTTTTTTATATTTTTGTTGCTTTTTATATATGTGAATGGAAACCATTTATACTTAAAATTGTATTTTGTACTTGAAGTTTCCATTTGCATTAAGTATCGATTAGCACAAACAATATGTTTAATAACTTCAGATGTAAAAACAGCTTAATTGAATGAATTTGTTAACAGTTTTGTTTTTTACAGCAACGTTTTTATAAAAAGTATCAAACAGATAAAGCTAACTTATTTAAAAAACAAGTCTCTTAGGCCCGTTTTCTAATCTCCAAATTTGTTTTTTAAATAAATCTTGATGAGAGGGTAAAATCTTGATTATAGCCTAAGTTTTCAAAAACACCTGAAGAATTGTTACGCAACTGTCTCTATTATATTAAAGATCCTTTTATGTATAAAATATTGGAGTACATTAAGTAAATAAGTACAGTTTCTAAAGTATATTAGTCAATTATTAACCAAAAACTTTAAATTGACTATTTTTTTGCTGTTTACTTAAGGTATAAAGACCTAACTAAGAACAAGTTTGGAAATAGCCGGATGTGAAATAGAGTTGCCGCGACCCGTATCGTACGGGTCACCACAGCTAATTCCGCAATTAAAACAGCACAATTGCTAATATATTTCAACAATTATATAAATTTTTTATAATTATATAAATAATTTAAGAGTTTTTTTACAGAAACCCAGTGGGCACCGGACCTAAAAAAGATGTTTACAAGACGTTTTAAATGTCTTTTTCTGGTAGATGGTAAAATGCGAACTTTAATTGTAATTGCAATTAAAATTCGTATTTTACAATCTACCAGAACTTTAAATTGATTTATTTTTTGTCGTTTACTAAGTAAATTAAAGTATAAAGGCTAAGGAACAAGTTTAGAAATAGTCGGGTGTGGATTAGACTTGGCAAGACCCGTATCGTATGGGTCATACTAGCTAGTAATATATTAATATACTATTATATACTAACTATATAGCATTTAAGAGAACCTCAAAGTAGTATAAAAGCATCAGTATTAATTCTGATGCTGGTCAGTTCTGGTGATAAGAAATTAATTAATGATACTCACAGTAATGTTGATGATGATCAGTCAGATTTCTAAAAACTAGATAATAATAATGTGACAGATATGTTTCTGATGTTACTCAAGCTGTATTTGCTAGTGTCTGCTTTCAAATTTCAGAAATGTAAAGATAGCGAATCATAAACCAACTCAAGTTAAGCCACCAACTGCTTAGGTCAACATAATCACAGAAAATAAAGTTAGCTACGTGTATAGAAAACTCGCAAATCAAATTTCTTTAATGGCCAAATTCAAAATTAAACTTTTAGTGCATTAATGCACTAAAAAATAGCTATTAGCAATAAATGAACTAACATAAATACTAAAAAAAATCTAAGATTACTTAAACTGTATTCCAGTTTAATAGTTCGTGTAAATGTTCCAAAATAATAAACCATGATAGTAACCATTGAGACATTTAGCATTTAAATGGCACTACTTCTGAGCCAACTGCATTGCAGCAGCGACATTGAAAAAGCAAACACAAAATTACAAAATCACATAAAACACAAAATGCCAACAGTTTGTTAATATAATTAATTTGGTATCAGAATAATTCTGTCATCTCTGAGTGACAGAGGTAAGTCAGACAGAATAACTTTCCTCTGACACCTCTGTATAACAGAAGCAAGTCATGCAAATTTTGCTTTAAAAAATATTTGGATTAAGTAGGACTACTGTGTATTAATTGTATTAAGGTGCGTTTTATGTTTTAATTAAGATTAATCAATAAACTCGATTATTCAGATGATTTGTTTATTATGTACAATAAAAAGTACATAAATCACTAGGGTGACCAGACATCCCAGTTTTCCAGGACTGTCTCAATTTTAGGTAAACCCCAACCCCTTAAAAAAGTTATTGGGGCAGTCATTTATCTAGGTTTTGAAAAATTATTTTTTTTTTAAAAAAAAAAGTTTTTTAATTACCAATACATTTATTACCATATCAGCCAGAGTTACTCTAAATAAAATTTTTGTTGAATAAATAAATCATAAACAAACCAGGCAATGAAAAATTCAAGTTAAATTTTTTTTTTTCAGAGTTGCAACAGATGCTAGTAGTTCCTGTTCAACTGAAGTTTTACCTTTTTACATTTAATATTTTGATATGTATAAGTAAAACACATCTTGAATTGTTAAAAGTTTCTGCTTTGCCCAATGAAACAGCTGCAACCACTAACTTTTGCATTGACATTTTAAAAGAATTAAAATTAGATTTAAAAATAAGATTTAAATAAATATTTAGTTTTCTTGCTGATAATACAAACACAAACATCGAAGGTGTTTGAAAAAACAATCTAATATTTTTATTTATAAGAATTAATCAACAATATGCAAGGTAAGGGTAGCCTGTTGCTAATTATTGACAAAATTTATGCTGTTAAGAATGAAAACCTTAAAAAATTTTATGATTTTTTTTTTCCAATACCAAAAAGTTTTGTTTCAATCAAGTTGGATTGGTTTTCGTTGCAACTTGCAGTAGAAAAAAACTCTTAAAATCATTTTATCTTTTTTTAATGATCCTTTTATTGGAAATTTATTTGACATTGGAAAAAATGCTAACATTAAGAAGCAATGAAAACTTTCTAATCATCAATGTAACAAAAATATAAGTAAAATATGAAATATCACAAGTTAATTTTTTAACTTTTAATCATAAAATTTAAGATTTTTACACAACTGCATTTTATGTTAAAGGAATTTTAAGCTTAATCTTATTGTCTTGGATTTTAGAAATGAAAAAAAAAAGGTTGAAAATAAATTATAAATAAGTATCTCAATGATAGAAGAGTTAAATTGAATGATTTACTTTTCTTTAATCAAATACTTATAATAAGATTATTTGGAGTTTTTCTTAGCCATTTTGGTCAAAATTGTTTCATTACAGGTAAAAGGATCTCAGAATGCTAGGTGTTTTTTTAAGATACCAAAGATGAGGAAGAATCGCTAGTCTTTTATATAAAAAAAATGAATAGGTAATACGCATGATTGAGAAATAAAACTATTTTCTTATAAACTGTTCAAGTTAAAAAGTATAAAACCTTTATTTATTATGATTTTTCCATTAAGAAAATTAAACATGTATTGTTTAGTTTTTAGGTAATGTAATTTCAATAATTTATTTAGATGCCTCCAAAGTTTAAATAAGTCAAAGTTGACAAAGATAATGTTAAATGATCATTATTTAGAAAAAAAAACAATATAAAACAGCCTGTTATTGTTCTATCTGATGGCCATGCTTCAAGATTTGACTGTGATGTATTGACATTTCTAAGAAGTTAAAATATTAGACTTTTCATCACTCCTCCTAACACAACTGGCGTTACCCAGCCTCTTGATCAAATCAATCAGAAACTGCACTCTGAGTACAGAAGTGCTAAATCTACACTTTATTTTTCATTTTTGACAATTAGCAGGAAAGGTTTCAACTTGCAGAGTTATGGCTAGAGTGGACATGAAAACAAAAAAAGGGAAAAAAGTTGGAATTTCAAGTGAAGGACTCAATGTTGAGTGGATGCAGGAAGATAAGTTCTAACGAGCCGAGCTGTGTATTTACGACAAATACTCAAAACAATCAATTACCATCTAATAATTGTTGGGTGGATGAATTATTAGATATAATTATTATATATATATAGATTATTATTATTAGATGTTTGTTATGGCTCAACAAGCATAAATTGAATTAAGAAAAAAATGAAAAAATATGCTTATCAAAAAATACCTGATAAATCAATATCACTTGAAGAAATTACTAACTTATTGCCTGTAACCAAAGTAACACCTAGAGTGAAGAAGGTAAATGTTAGAGTTACCCAGGTTCTTGGCTCAATGCAGGGAAAAAAATGTAACAAACTGTCTCATTGACAAAGGAAGATATAGCCTAAAAGGAGCAAGCTAATAAGGAAAACAAATTCAAGCAACAACAACAAATGGAAGAATTCTTTAAATGTAAGGAAATGCAACTAAGTTTAAAGAATGCTCTGTTGCTGTGTTATGTTTAAATGTTATGTTTTAAAATCTAAATGCAGTAAAGCATCATGCTGAGGTGAAACAGGTTCAAAACCAATTACAATCAAATAATTTTGTGAAAAGGAACCAAAAAATGTCTTCAGTTTGAATCTGGTGAAGATAACGTTATAGACTTCTTTTCTATCTCTGATTTCTTCCAGAATACAACACATCATTCTGTTGTCGCTAATTTTAAATTATAGTTTATATAGATTTTATTTTTATATTTTTTGTTCGTTATATGTTATTTTTAAGTTTTAGGTTACATTTTATTTTCAATTTAAAAAAAAATCAATAAAGTTTATTATATAGTTTTTTGAATCAGTAATTCAAAATGCTAGGCGAAGCACTACAAAACGCTAGGTAATTTGAAATGCCATTTTAAGAAAATTAGATTTATTCTGTGCATGCATGTTTTTAGCACTGTTTTTAGATCCTTAAAGCTTTTTTTTAATAACATTTTGTTAACTTATTATCAGAAGGGCTCAAAAAATTTAAAATTGTTTAAAAAATTTTTTTTAATGGCTAGTAGACTTTATTTGCGTCTTTTTAATTTAGAATGTTTTCTAATGATAATTTTTAATTTTTTTCTTTACGACTTAACATTATTTTTTTTGTTCAGATTGTTCATGGCTTTCAGTATTTAATAGAAAAATTTGTGACATTCTGACCACTGCATTCTGAGGTCCCTTAAACTGTGCACACATTGTTTATAAATATTTTTGCTGAGTATCTGTAATTAAATAACAAAGTTATAATTGCAAATTGTATATACTTTAAAACGTTGAAGTTATGACTACAAATAAGTTATGTTAATAATATTTTTTAAGACAGCAAATTAAGGAAAAACTAATTTTTTTATGTTATTTAGTTGCTAGAGCAACACTATATCACTATCCAAAGTCATTTTAACAAACAAAAAAAAAGCAATGTTGACCTACCCTAATAAAATGTATGTTATATAACATGTTTTTTAAACAACTATTAAATGTAACAAAATGTTTTCCTCTACAACTCATTAATAATAAAGTAATATATGACTCAATAAAGTACAACTTATATGAAGACAAAGTAATACTGACTCAGGAAAGTAAAGTTATGCTGACTCAGAAAAGTGAAGTTATGCTGACTCAGCAAATTACAACCTATACTGACTAACAATCTAAAACTGACTAAATAACCTAAAATTTACTCAGCTAAAAAAAATATGACTGATACTCAAAATATATAGATATAAATATATGACTATACTCAGCTAAGTAAATATATGAGTGACAAGTAAAGAATTTTAAATACATTATATAGTTAAAAATCATTAAATACCTTTCGAGGATATTTATAGGGTGCAGTGCACATTTTTACATGATCTTGAAGCATCTTAACCATCAAATTCATGTTGTGGGCTTTATAATCATCAGCCAAAACAACAAAGGCTTTTACAATCTAAAAACAATTCTACATTGGGCTTTAGAGTAATTAAAAATGCTTATATAACCAAATTCCTATAAAAATTTAGTAAATATATACCGAACCACGAATATCACAAGGAACACCGATTACAGCTGATTCAACAACAGCAGGATGCTCAATTAAAGCACTTTCTACCTCAAAAGGTCCAATTCGATATCTAAAAATCCCAAAATCAATACAATAAAAAAAATTATATACAAATTGAAACAATTAAAAAAAAACAAATAACAAAAAATAACTAAATTAAGTCTTTTTCCTAAAAAAATGTGAAAAAAAAAAGACAATAGACAGATATTTAAAATAGAAAATCAAAAAAACTTCTATTAAGAAAAAGGTTACCATTTATATAAATTATTTGAACATAAACAAACGTGCCCTGCTGAGTTAATAACATCATCTGATCTACCAACAAACCAAAAGTATCCATCTCTATCCTTATAACCTCGGTCCCCTGAATAAAATAAAACTCTTTATAAAAAAACCTTTTTTTTTTTTAAAGACAAATATAACTTTTTTCTTTTAAAAACATTTTAAAAAAAAAGAAGAATTTTGTTATAATTGATACCAAATACTAGCTTTGGTAGTAGATGATGTTTTGGGCTGCCACAGTTTATTAACACATTATTTAAGACTTTATTAGTTGAAATAAAAACATTTTATTGCTGTTGTCAACAGTGATAATAGGAGAACAACTAATATAAGCCCCCCTCCCCCTCCTTTGTAAGTTTAGTTTTTTTTTTGTTAATATGTTTGTTCAAAAGTTACTTTTTATCAGGGTTAAAAAAAAATTAAAAAAAAAGCTATTTTATAGTCCTCTTAAAAAAAGTTATCATTAAGGGAAAGCGGGGCAACATGGCAAACATTTTGAAAGCCCTGAGTTATTGCAAAGCTATCATTCTTGAAGCAATAATACCTTCTCAGTATGTTTATGTTATTAAAGTAATTCATTGCCTGCATGAATTTTCAGTTAGCAAATATAACAATTTGAAATAAATATTAAAATAAAAAGTTCATAAATTTGTCATCTGGTCATGTGACCGGGGTAAGATGACTATTTATGCAAGTTTTGCCTCCAACTTTTATAAAATTTTAAAAATACCAATAACTTTTACTAAAGTAACACAAAATAAACACAAATCACAAAAAAGTACTTCTAAAGAAGTTAAACTTCAAAGACACCATCTATTATGAGAAACCGAAACTGAGGAATTTTTTTTTAAGCGCAAAAAGTAAACTTGTGCATATAAAATTGCGTTGATAATATTTAAAAAAAAAAAATTGGGGTTTTAAAATACAAGATGCAAATACAGTTTCATTTTCACCCAATTTTAAGATTTTTTGTTGAGTTGTTATATGAAAACCCATTCGCCATGTTGCGCTTATCCTTAATTATTTTAGTTATTAAATTACTTAATATTAAAAAATCGAAATACTTGTTGATCTTCTTTTATTTACTAAGAAAAAAAAAGAAAAATCGTAAGTTGTTGGAATTCATCAATTTCATCTTTATCTTCAATTTCATTTTTTATTTCATCTAAAGCTTTTGCAACCATTTTCAGTTGCCAAATGATTCTCTATGTATGATTTTTACTTAAAAATAATTTTAATTAATAAAAATTTTAATAAAAAAATATATAATAGAATTATATTAATTAACATATTACTAAACAACACTCAGTTTGATAATTTGCATTATAAGGAAAGAATACAGCACTAAAAAATTTTTTTATTATTATTATTTTTTTAATTATTTTTTATAAAAACTTTTTTAAAAAAAATAAAAAGCCACATTTTAAAGCATAAAAACTATTAGACTGGAACATTAACAAAGACTGTATATAAGACTGTGAAACATTAAATTTAAAAAAAACTATTAGACTATGTAGTGTATAGTATATAGTGTATATATATATAGTGTATATATATATATATATATATATATATATATATATATATATATATATATATATATATATATATATATATATATATATATATATATATATATAGTGCATAGTATATAGTGAAACATTAAATGTAACAACCAATCTATAATATAACACGCCAAGTTAAAGAATCAAAATATTGAGTTTAAATAAACTGCTTATTTTTTCTTTATTATTCATTTTACAGAAAATATTATTTTCTTGTTTGTTACTTTAGTTACTTTTTTGTTATTGGGATTTTGTTACTTGAATTTTGTTGCTTTTTGTTAAATGATTATCATAATAAAAAAAGATATTTTTAAAAAACATTTCTGAATATAAAGAAAATTTAAAAGTATATAAAAATTAAATAATATCAGCAACATCTTACCAGTTAGGTAAAAGTTTCCTTTGAATGACTCTTTTGTTTTAACAGGATCACCCTATCATTAAAATAAATATTTTTATTCAAATTTTAAAATGAAAAAACTAAAATACTCAAACAACTCAAGAAAAAAACTTAATTCAAAAAATTAAAACTAACCACATATCTGTTAAATAAACCAACAGGATAAACTGGAAAGCATTTTAAAGCTATTTCACCTTCGTCAAACGGTTCTAATATGTTACCATCATCATCAATAATCTATGTAAAGTTTATATTTTTTATTTGCAAAAAATTTTCAAATATTCAAATCAAAAATAAATAATATCTAAAAAGAAGTTAAAAATAATAATTGGTAATCTCAAAATATTATAATTAAAAAATGAACTAAAAAAATTGTTTTGATTTTTTTGTTCTGATTTCACTTCTAACTTATTGTAACAAAAAAAATTACCTAATAATCTTTAAAATGAAACAGAGATCGCCTTCTCCATTTTTTTTTTGGTTCTCGGGGTCTGTATAATGTTAGCCGCAATCTGCAGACTTGATAATTTATACCATGCGTGTTTAATTCATAACAGTCAGTGCAATATCTTTTTAAGATAGCGTTTTTTTTTTTTTAAAGTTAAAAAAAATATATTAGAAGATATTTTCTAAAAGTAAAAAATACTTTTTTTAAGTATTTTTTATTTTACCACAATCAGAAAAACAAATATTTGTATAATTTATTATTAAATCACAAAAAATATTTGTTATTTATTAAAAAATTATACAAATATATATATATACACACACACACACACACACACACACACACACATATATATATATATATATATATATATATATATATATATATATATATATATATATATATATATATATATATATATATATATATATATTTAAACAATTTTAAAATGTATTCTACAAAATAGAGTGCTCAATGTTCTTAAAAGAACAGAGCAATAAAAAGTAGTAGAAAATCACTTAGCCAAAATTTTTTTCATTTAACACTGTGTTTTATCCATAAAGACTCATCAGAAACCTGATGATATATATATATATATATATATATATATATATATATATATATATATATATATATATACACACACACATATAAATATATATATGCATATATACATACATATATATATATATATATATATATATATATATATATATATATATATATATAAAATATATATATATATATATATATATATATATATATATATATATATATATATATATATATATATATTTTTATATTTATAATTTTTTTTACTTGCTTTATTATTACTTTGTTTTAAAAGCAAGCCAAAATTATGATACAATTATATATATTTTGTGATTATTAGAGTTAGCAGGCAGAGAAAAAATAAAGGCAGTATGATGCGGTTTCTCGTTTTATATTTAGTTCATATGGTTTAATAGAGGTGTTTGTTTTATGTTTAATTTACATTTAGTTATGGTTTAACTCTTTTATTACTGCAAGCCACTGGTAGTGGCTTTCAGGTATGCTTTACAATTTATCTTTTTTTGTACATAAATTTCCATTCTAGACACATAGAATTTGTTTGTTCTAAAGGTTTAATAAGTTCTTTACATAATCAAGAAAAAATAAGAGCTATATTGTGTAATTAAAAAAGTTATCCCAAAGTTAAAAAATCTTGAATAATCCTTTTTAAAAAAAACTTTAAATTTAGTTATAAAATAAAACAGCGTTAACACTGTAAAATTTAACTTGTAGAAGTTTTAAGTATTTAATTAAGTAATTACCAAATTATTTTAAAGAAAAAATATTATTTTTATTCATTAAATGAGGTTTGTTTCGAACTTAATGTTTTAGTTAACTACTTATAAAAGCAATAGTTCTAAGCACTTTGCATTTCTTATTGTTTAATGATGCATTTCTTATTGTTTAATGATCGAATTTTAAATAATTGTCAAATTATTCAAAAAAATGTGCAGTTGCTACAAAAAGATTTTTGTTTGTCTGGTAGCGACCAATTTAATGCGATTCTTTGTTTTTATATTCATATTATAACTATTTTTTGTATATTTTAGTACAAATATTTGTTTTAACTTTAATTTAGTTTGATTTGAACGGCTATTAGTAAAATAATTCGTTTAATATTTATTTTCTACTTAGTTTAGTTTATATGTTTTATTCAAGTCACTTGTTTTTTCATTTAGTTTATACTTTAAATTAACTTATACGCTTTAGTAATATTATTCTTTTAGTATCTAGTTTATATTTAGTTTATTGTAAATATTCGTTATATATTAAATTTTTATTTTTATAAATTTTATAAATTTAATTCTTAATTTCATTATAAACTTTTTTTGGGGATTTAGTAAAAAGTTAACATGATTTGGAGATTGTGGCAACAAAAAAAAAAAAATATGACATCTTGAAAAAATTTTTTTTTTACGATAACGTCATATACCGAAACTGTTATGAATTAAACACGCATGGTATAAATGATCAAGTCTGCAGATTGCGGCTAACATTATACAGACTCTGAGAACCAAAAAAAAAATGGAGATAGCAAGCTTCGATTAAAACTTGAACTTTAAATTTGATGGTGTGCATTCATTATAAAGTTTAAATCAAAAAAATTAGGCCCAAATGTTTTTTTAAACATTTTCTTTAATATGAACACAACTTGTCTTGGCAGTTTGGGATCCCTTTAACTTAAAACAAAGACTTTTTTTTTTTACCACTTACAAAAAATTATTGAAATAAAACAATTATATATAGAATAAGTATACAAATTTAAAGTCTACTTTCACAGGTTTTATAAACTTTTTATACTGATTGTAATTATTCAACATATTTTCTAAACATTATTTAGATGGAAATACCAGAACTGCTGCAGTTGCACAACAGCTAGCAAAGCATTTTTTAAATTTTTAAGTTAATTATATTTAAAAAATTTTTTTTTCATAACTTCAAAAGGTAGAAAATAAGTTTATATATATATATATATATATATATATATATATATATATATATATATATATATATATATATATATATACATATATATATATATATATATATATATATATATATATATATATATATATATATATATATATATACATATATACATATATATATATATATATATATATATATATATATATATATATATATATATATATATATATATATATATATATATATATATATATATATATATATATATATATCAGGGGCTTTCCTAGACCATTTTCAACAAATTAAAAAATATGGACCTTTTTTTTTAACGCTTTTTATGGCAAATAATGTTTTTTTGTGAGAAAACGCCATATATGCAACCATAAATATATAATATTTATGGTATTAAACTTGTTAACACTATAGATTTTGAAATTATTTAATTATGGTAAAAAAACTTGTGATATAAGATATTATAGAGTTTAAGCATTTTTTTACAACTGAAAAACTTTTCATGATAAGCTTACTTACTACACCACAGTCTACTATGGCATATATTGATATACATTCGCTGGCATTTTTTTGCTTATATTGTTTTATACATTTATTTTGAAAAGAACAAAAAAAACATTAATGAAAAGAAATGATTGAAGAAATGAACCTAAACCCTTAGTCAATGTAGCAACACTCTTTGCATGTTCTCCCAATTTAGTCAGCTAATTTATACACTTAAGCCCTTAGTAACCCCCTATTTTAGTATGACATCAGCCTACTTATCAATGTATACATTAAAATATATAGAAGTTCTATAATTTTTTACTTGTAAATCATAGCCAGGAGTTGGTTTACCCATTGAGCCAGGTTTCATGTTTATGCATTGAAACATTCCACAACTTAAAGTCTAAATAATTTAAGCATAATCATTTTGAAAACACTTGTTTGAATAAATACATAAATTTGGAGCAACTTGAGAAAAATGGGCTTATTAAATTAATTATAATTTGGAGCAACTTGAGAAAAATAGGCTTATTAAAAAATTATAAAACAAGTTACCATCTCAGTTTGACCATAACCTTCTCTTATATAAAGTCCAGTTTCTCTTTTCCAAACCTCTATCACCTGTGGATTCAAAGGCTCACCAGCTGATACACAATGACGCAAACCTTAAGTAAAAATATATCTTTTATATTTTTTGAAAACTAAAATTATTATAGTAAAGAAACATTAAAAAATTACTATTAAAAGAAAACTTTTTGATATCTTCTAAAACAAGAAGCCTGTAAGCGGTTGGCGGTAAGCAAGTTACTGATATTGGATACTTTTGAAGAATCTCTAATGTTTTTTTTGCATTAAACCGCGGTGTATTGTAGACAAAAACACAAGAACCTTGCCACCACGGACCAAAAAATGATGAGTATGCTGACTTAGCCCATCCTGTATCCGAAACATTCCACATAACATCATTAGGTGTCAAATCCAACCAAAACCTAAAGAAATAATATTAAATGTTTAAAAAAATATAAAAAAAAAGTAATAGTTATAAATATTATAAACATCCTAAAATATATTTTGTCTATTAGATTAAACTGATCCTAAAATTATTGTAGTGATCTAAAAAGTTAAGAAAAAGAATAAAATAGAAAGAAAAAAAAGTGTTAACAAAAATCAAACTTCAAGTCCTTGAAAAACCTTTCCAAAGTTTAAACAAAAGCCTTTCAAAAAAATTTAAATTTTACTAAAACCATCATATTAAATAATACTTAAAGGGTTTCAGGTTTACAATTATGCTTTTAACAAATAATGATTATTTAATTATCATTTTAAAATTGATTCACAAAATAACAATTTAAATAAGTTCGAAAATTTGCGGACAAACTAAAGCTTAACACTTTTCCCAAAAAATTGCTAGTTTTTTGATTTTTTAAACAAATACTTTGTAGAAATGATTAAAAAACTGCATAAGTGATTGAGATCATAAGATCTAAGAAATGTATCTCATTTCCTGTGAAAAAATTGATCTTGAAATAAGTTCAAAATGGAAATTCAATTCGTAAAACAGCACAGCTTTATGGAGTCCCTAAGTCTGCTGTTGGACAAACTATGAAGAGATATACTAGATGATATACTGAGCTTACTAGATCTACAAAGAATAAAAATCAATCTGGAAGACAACCATGAAAAACAACACATTATCAGGATAAAAAGCTCGTAATACTAAGCAAAGAAAATTCCTGCTTGACAGCTGTTGATATAAATGTACAAATGAGACATTTCTACTATAAAACATCGTTTACATCATGCTGATTTAATTGGAAGACCTCCAGCTAAAAAAACCATTATATTCATTGAAAAATCTTAATATCTTAAAAGAATTTACATCAGAGCATCTAAAGTGGAGTAGTCAACAAATATTTAATTTGCATCAGAGCATCTAAAGTGGAGTGGTCAAAAAATATTTTTAGTGATGAAAGCAAGTTTATGCTATTCCGATCAGATGGAATTAGGTATGTTCAAACATCCAGTAGGTATCAGATACCCTGTTAAATACCTGCCTATTGTAAAATATGGAGGAGGTAATATAATGGTTTGGGGGATGTTTTAGCTGGGATGGACATGGTCTGCTTCATAGAATTACTGAGACTATAAATCAAGAAAGTACAAAGATATAAGTTGGACTATTGTTACCTCATCCAAATAATAAAATGCCAAGAAGATGGATATACCAACAGAATAACAATCTCAAACAAACGGCCTAACAAAATGGTTCTAGAGTTTTTCAAAAAAAGTAAAGCTAATGTTTTGAAATAACCATCTTAATCACCTGACTTAAATCCATTGAACATCTATGGGAACATGTTGACCATCAAATTAATGGAATCAAGCCTATAAATCATTCTGATTTATTTAATAAAATCAAGATAAGACGAGACTCAATTGCAATTGTTTTTTGCATTAATTTAATTGGCTCTATGCATCATAGATGCCTTGCCGTTCTTAATTTTAAGGATATTCTACAAAATACTAATGTGATTTTGCTTTTATATAAAATTGTGATCAAATATTGTTGAAAAATTTGTATATTTAAAAAAATAAACGGGTTGTCTGCAAACTTTTGAACTTATCAAAAATTGTTGATTTGTTGACCAATTTTAAAATGTTAATTAAATAACTATTATTTATTCAAAGCATAATTGTAAACTTGAAAACCTTTTGATTGGAATATAATATGTTAGCTTTAGTGAAGTATATGCTAAAACATTAGTAGAATTCCTTTTTTGCCTATCCGCAAACTTTTGGATGCTACTGTGTCACTACTGTATATGCAGTATAAAAATTTAAAAATAAAAAGTTTTTGAAATTCACATAGTGTTTTGAAATAGAAAGCTAAACAATTATTAAAAAAGATTTTAACTTTAAAAAATAGAGAAACTACCTTCCTGTGATTTTATGAGCTAAACCATAGCTTGCATGAGTATGCTCTGCTATCTTAGGCAAACCAGTTGTTCCACTAGTGAAAAACCATGCCAAAGGATCACTTGCTCTTGTTTTAAAACACTAATTAAAAAAAAATTATTAGTGTTTAAAAACACTAATAACAAACGTGTTAGTTTCTCCGGAGAACCATGAAAAATAAAAAATATATTATCTATAAATCATTTTTAAAATGTTCCTTTTTCTTTCTTTTTTTTTTTTTTTCTTTCATTATTAGAGCTTTTCTCTTTCCAACTATCATATTTTGGGTGAGAATTTCTTTATTTTGCGTCAAGTATTATACTAAATGATTTTTTAATTAAATATTTAAATTATTTACAAAATATTGGAGTATTTAACAATTTTATTCACATTGTATTCAAGTTACAAATTCTTGGGCTACTATTGGATGTTAAAAAATTCAAATTAATAGTTCTCTTACTTCGGATGGCATCTTATGTTTCTTGTACTTTTGAATTCTTTGTTGTAATCTTGAACTTGAAAGAATTGGATCTGAAGTCTCCATTGCACGCATGAACACATCAAAGAGATTGTGTTGGCGACTATTTTTTCGAGCATGATTGATTCTATCTGATCTAAAAATTTTATTTCTACTTTCTGAAGCTTCTTCAGATAACATGCTAACAGGGACAATTGAATTTGATATGATCTGTGAGCAATGTATCAAAAGTTTATGTAATGTGGGAGTCATAGGAAATTGCAACGTTTCCTGTATTACTATTGCCATTGCTTGATTTTGACATGTCTATATGAATTTTAAGTTTGTTTTTGAATCAGCTTTGAATTTAAATCTTCATTGCTTTTATTGCTTCGTTTTCTTTTCCATGCACTTGCCATTGATTTTCAAGCAAAACTAATTTATAAGAAATGTGTAACATTGCTTTGAAACAGCGTATATGCATGTGAAGAATACTTAAACCATGTTGTAGAGCTACTGGGTTAACATTAAATACTCCTTTTGTAAAATTTACTATTTTATTCATATCTCTTGAAGAACAACCACACATAGTACATTGTTGAAATGAAGATGTCTTTGTAATACAAATATTAATAATGAAAACTGTGATGATGATTCTAACAGTGAAAATGATATAGATGATTTTGAAAACAGTCACATTTATGAAACAAATGTAGATTCTGAAATATATCAATAAGATGATGTTATGACTTTTTATAATAAAAATAGCAGATGTGGCGCAGTGGTTATAGTGTTGAACTCTTTACCCAAGGGGTTGCAAGTTCGAATCGAGTATCAATAAAATTGAACAAAATATTTCGTCCAATAACTTTTCTCTATTATTTGCTTGCAACATAGATGGCAGCATGAGTTTTTATCTTTTGTATAAAAAACTTATTCATATTTTCATATAATATTTTACACTTTATTTTAAAAATTTGGAAAAAGTTGGGGGGGGGGCACTCAGCTTTTCACTCCTCACCACTTCCCTCTGCTACTGCGATCCCTTTTATAAACACGCATGTTTTACTTTTTTTTTTCCATAAGTTTTTTTTATAAGCTATAAATATATACTTAAATAATATAGTAAAAAGTAAAAAAAATCACTAAATCAATTTTTTTCTTTTTTTTCTTAATTATCTTCGCTTCCAACAAGGCTGCAAGCAACCACTAATTAGTGTTGGAAGTTACTGGAAGAGAAAAGATGAAGATTGTAGAGCAAGATAACGATTGACAGACAACTTAAAAGATTGCAAATTGTATGAATCAGGTAAGCAAGATGAAGGAAGCGAATTCCAAAGAACTGATGTTTGAGGAAAAAAACTAGACAAATAAGAGTTTTTGTAGCACTTAGGAACAGTAACAGAAAAAGGATGAGACTTAATTGAATGACAAGTAACACAAGAATAAATTTTAGTAGATGGCACAACAGATGCTAGCTCTTTCGAGCAGTGCCCATTATAGTATTTGTAGAAAAGAGAAAGAGAAGCAACATTACGACGATGTGACAGAGGTTGAAGGTTGGCTGCAAGAGCAGGTCCAACTATGTTTACAATGCGTTTTTGAACCTTGTCTTAAAGAGAAAGGGCATCATTAGAAGATCCGCCCCAGATATGGCAACAGTATTCCATACAAGGCCGAATTTGAGATTTATAGAGATAGAGAATAGAATCCAGAGTAAGAAAGTGACGAGCTCGATAAAGAGAAGCAACTTTAGCAGATGCTAATTTTACAACGGATTTGATATAAGGTTTCCAAGAAAGATCAGAAGTAAGAGCTAATCCTAGAAGATGAAGGGTAGAAGACTCATCGAGTACATTACCGTTCATAAATATAGAAAGGTCTAAATTATTGCGATAACGATTGGCCGAAAAAAATTGAGTTTTATCTGAATTAAAGTTCACCAGCCACTGTGAGCCCCATGCTGTAGCAGAAGTGAGATCCTTTTCAAGCTCAGATGCAAGCAATCAGAGGGAGTTGGCTTCTTATCGTGACAAGAATAAATGCAGGCCTTGTTTTAAAGCGTTACGCCTAGAGCGATTTACGTACGCCTTAAGCGCTTTTTACGTACGCGTAGAGCTGTTTTGGTTAAGCTACTTTTTATCATTTTTTAACTTTTAAATAAGCGGTAACATAAAAGAAGTAATTAATTTTCAAAAAAACCACATTAACTTTTAAATAACGATATGTAAAGGTATTTATTAAAAAAAAGAATTTACTTTAAAATTAATTGTTGTAACTTTTCATCGCGATATATCTTTCCTTTTTATAGCAATTAATTTGACGCTAAACTTTTTATCCAAATATTTAGCAACATGAAAAATTGTTTGTCAATCCTTAACTACAAATTTTTTGGAATGTTTTTAATAAAAAGTAGTAAAGTTTTTAGTAAAAAACTTTTAAAAAATCTATATTCTATATTTATTAATACAGAATATAAAAGTTTTTTGTAATATAGATTTTTTATGAATTTTTTACTGAATTTATAATAAAAAACATTTGCAAAAAAATTTGTAATTAAGAATTGACATTTTTTTAAATAAAATCTCAAAAAATGTCTTAATATTTTTGTTATCATGATAACAAAAATATCAAGACATTTTTTCGAGATGTTAAAAAAAATGTCTTTGCTTTTCTTATTAGTTTAATAGTATATAGCTTATAGTTAGTTTAATAGTATATAGCTTTTCTTATTAGTTTATTAGTATATAGTTTAAGTTATGCGGGGGGAGGGGGTCGGCACAGAAAAAAAAATTACCTGTTACTCGCAATATTTGAATGAAGACAATTTGTTAAAATTCTTCTGCGTGCGATTCAATAAGTTTTTTTTGTCATAAATCAAGTTATAATATAAGGTAAAGAAATCATGAGTAGTCTACAACATCCGCTGATGACACTAATATTACGTTGAATATATTTATATAACGGAGGTTTTATTATGCACGCGCACATTACAGGTTCCGTTAAATAAATACTAAGGCACGTTTTAGTTTAATGACAGTCTCCATTTTTTACTAATGATTATGTATTTTTCTTTATAAAACAAAACAAACTAGTATATAAAAACCTTGTATATTTCTATTATCTCTAAGTTATTTAAAGTTCGAATATGGATTGTATTTTGAAGGACAAAAGATTTACTTTAAAAACTTTTAAATCTTGGGACTTTGCCGATGCGATGATCACAGAAAAAGAGAAGACTTACGTTATTAAAATCAAATGTAAGTTATGTGATCTTCATCAAAATAAAATATTATCCAAAAACAATAGTGCCGTAAGGGCAACTGCCCAACGGTTTATAAATAATACAAGTCATGTTAAAATATTTTAACATGTTACTATATTTTAATTAAGTTGATATATAATTAAAAATAAAAATATAGTTCAATAAATAAATTAAATTTATTCTTAACAAAGATTACCTCATATTTATTCTTTTTTTTATTTTATTAAGTTAAATTGCTTACAAACGAAAAAAAAAAGAGTTTTGTAATTATACGTAGAATGAAAATACTTTTGAGTTTGTTTATAAGTTAAGGAACTTAATTTTTAATAAACAAATTTTTACAAACGTTTATTATAAACAGATACGATTCAAATTATTAAATATACTTAAATTATTTCAGTTGAGTATTTTTATAAGTTTGCACGATTAAAGTTTGGCGTACAAGTATTTGTTTTTTTGTTTTAAGAATAATTAATAAAAGAGTTTGCATAATTAAGACTTTTATATTTAATTTAATTTTTTTTTTTAATTTCCTAAAATTAAAAAAAAAAAAAGATTTAATCGTTGAAAACGACTTTTATCTATAGCTCTGTTTCTTTGTGATTTGTTTAAAAAGTTAAATATTTTTACAATAACATAAAAAGTTTATGAATTAAATTCCTAGCGAACGCGTTCTAAACTACGTATCAAAAATACACTTCAAAGCAGACAAAACTTTTTTATATTTTTATAAAACGCAAGTTGAAACGCTTTTAAAAATTTTAAAAATATTTAAAAACTTAAATTTTTCTTTGCTAGTCAAAACAAAATCGTTGTTTAAATAATTAACATGGGTTTGTGTTTATCAATGTTAATATTTTTTGTTTACTCTAGAAATTTTTAAAAATAAAAAAAATCATTATTATTTTTTATTCAATAACGATTAAAAACAATTATTCAAAATCAAATTTCAGAAATATATATATATATATATATATATATATATATATATATATATATATATATATATATATATATATATATATATATTACTAAATAATATTGAACTAAAATTAATAATAAAATAACAATTGAAAACATTACAAAATTTTCATAATAAATTTATATTTAAAACGTTTATAGTTTATATTTGAGTTAATTGTTAAATTGAATTAGTTTGCGGTTATTTATTTATTGCGGTAGTTAAAACACTTAACGCCTATAAAAAAAAATAAAGATAATTTTATGACGTCAAAATCGCGTTAAGCTAATGCATTAAGCACTTTTTTATTTAAAACAAGGCCTGTAAATGGTAGTATCATCAGCGAACAATGCCACCTCAGATATGAGAATATCTGGAAGATCATTAATGTAAATTAAAAAGAATATAGGGCCAAGGAT